GAAGGGAATTTAGGAAGTTATATGATGAGGGTAAGCCACTTTTTTTTTAGATTTATTTATTTATTTGAAAGGCAGAGTTACAGAGAAGCAGAGACAAAGGCAGAGAGAGAAAGAGAGAGGTCTTCTAGCCACTGGTTCACTCCCCAAATGGCTGTAACGGCTGGGGCTTGGCCTGGCCAAAGCTAGGAGTCAGGAGCTTCTGGGTCTCCCACATGGGTGCAGGGGCCCAAGGACTTGGACCATCTTCCGCTGCTTTCCCCTAGCACATTAGCAGGGAACAGGATCAGAAGTGGAGCAGCAGGGACTCAAACCAGCACCCATATGGGATGTGGGCACTACAAGCAGCGACCTTACCTACTACACTACAATGCCAGCCCCAGTTCTTTTTTCTTAAAAGGGACTTACCAGGGCTGGTGCTTTGACACAGCAAGTAAAGCTGCCACCTGCGACATCAGCAACTCACATGGGCACCGATTCAGGTCCCAGATGTTCCACTTCTGATCCAGGTCCCTGCTAATGTGCCTAGGAAAGCAGCAGAAGACGGCCCAAGTGCTTGGGCTGCTGCACCCACTTGGAAGACCTGGAAGGGGATCCTGGCTCCTGGCTCCTGGCTTTGGCCTGGCTCATCCCTAGCCATTGTAGCCATTTGGGGAGTGAACCAGCAGATAGAAGATATATATCTCTCTCTCTTTCTCTTTCTCTCTCTGTCTCTGCTTCTCTGTAACTCTGCCTTTCAAATAAATCAATAAACCTTAAAAAAAAAAAAAAAAAAAAGACTCAGGCATAGGTCTCAGTTCTAACTGAACCAGGAGTGGGAAGAGGTAAAGAATTGGCTTCCCTGGACTCTATGTGAAGCTGGGAGTCTGGCTGACCAGCAAGTCACTCTGCCTTGGCTTACACAACCCTGGGCTCACAGGTGCTGGGGACAGCCTGACCGAGCAAAATGCTATGCTCCCCCCCAACACACACACACACACACCTACCTCAAGTCAGCATTGCAAAGTCCACTGTCTCCCACATGGAAGTTCTACCACGATAATCATTTGCTAAATGATGCAAGAATCTTTGCCCTCCTTACTGGGGTCAGGATGGAAACAGAACAGTCCTTATTTTATACAAACCACAAGACCAAAAAGACAACTCGATTATTTGTCTGGAACTGCCCCCCCAACATCCGCTGTCCGCCAACGGGAACAGTTCTCTGACTCCTGCAGGGCACCAAGTCCTTGCAATAAGTACTCTGGCACCCGGAGCTTTGCAGCATGCTGGGCTGTTAGCACTGCCGGCTCCCTGCCATTTACAGTCACTCATTTACCTGGCCTCCCCGACAGACTGTAAAGTTCACGGGCATCAGGACCAAGTCTAGTGTTCCCTGCTGCATCTCTCATATGCCCTCTACAAACGTTTACTGCCTGCCTGAGATGCCCTCCAGCAGAGGCCTGGGTTCTCCTGGCTCCTCTCTGAAGTCATACTCGGGAACTGCCTTGCTCAGAAGAAGAGCAGGTTATTTCATGAAGCCGCAAATTCTACCCTGCTGTACGAAGGCACGTGTGGCCTCTAAGTTCTCCTACACGGTTTCCCTCCGTCTTCCCGCACAAGCCGCATCTAGCCTTCCCTAAAAAAGGCTACCATTGGGGCCGGCGCTGTGGCACAGTGGGTTAATGCCCAGGCCTGAAGGTTCGCCATCCCATAAGGATGCCGGTTCAAGTCCCAGCTGCTCCACTTCCAATACAGCTCCCTGCAAATGTGCCTGGGAAAGCAGCAGAGGATGGCCCAAGTCCTTGGGCCCCTGCACCCACGTAGGAGACCCAGAAGAAGTTCCTGGCTCCTAGCTTCAGATTGGCTCAGCTCCAGCCATTGCAGCCATTTGGGGAGTGAACCACCATATGGAAGACCTTGCTCTCTCTCTGTCTCTCTATAACTCTTTCAAATAAATAAAATAAATCTTTTAAAAAATAAAAAAAGAGGGGGCTGGTGCTGTGGCGTAATAGGTAAAGCTGTTGTCTGCAGTGCTGGCATCCCATATGGCCGCCAGCTCAGGTCCTGGCTGCTCCACTTCCAATCCAGCTCTTTGTTATGGCCTAGGAAAGCAGTGGAAGATGGCCCAAGTCCTTGGGTCCCTGCACCTGCGTGGGAGACCCAGAAGAAGCTCCTGGCTCCTGGCTTCAGATGAGCACAGCTCCAGCCCTTATGGCCATCTGGGGAATGAACCAGCAGATGGAAGACCTCTCCCTCTCTCTCTCTCTCTGTGCCTCTGATCTCTGTAACTCTGCCTTTCAAATAAAATTTAAAAATCTTGAAATAAAGAAAGAGAGAGGGGAGGGAGGGAGGGAGGGAGCGAGGAAGGAAGAAAAGGCTACCATCGTGTCCCAGACAGCCCTACTTCTGTTGCATTACAGTTCCACTAGGAACACGGTGGAAATGAAAACAAAGATTGACTAATATCTGCCCTGTAGCACTGGAGAAGGTCACAGCTGAAGGGCATGGGGACCCACGATGTCTTTATAGGCGCGAGGCTGCCAGACTCTGAAGTCAGACCAAAGGCCACTGACTGAGATGGATGAAGATTCCTATCACGGTTTCCTAGAACCCAATGGACATGAGAGTGGGTCCAGGAATGCTGGCCAACACTCACCTGGCTCCAGGCTGCTGTGACGTTAGGCGCCTGACAACCTGAAAGAAACCTGCCTCGCTTTTCTCACAAAAGAGCCAGCCACCTAAAAATGATGGATCATAGGGGTGCATGCCCCAAAGCACTCATTCATCTGGCACCTCCTGGGTCAAGGTTCTGAACTGCGTCTTTGCTCCAAAAATCTAAAGCTGGTATGCGCGTAGCTGATTTTTAAAAAATGATTCATTTATTTGAAAGTCATATTTACACCGAGAGAGAGAGGAAAACACAGACAGAAAGAGATCTTTCATCTGTTGGTTCATTCCCCCAGATGGCCACAACAGCCGGGACTAGGCCAGGATGAAGCCAGGAGCCTGAGCTTCCACTGGGTCTCCCATGTGGGAAAGGGGCCCAAGCACTTGGGCCATCTTCCTCTGCTTTCCCAGGCACATTAGCAGGGAGCTGGATAAGTAGTGGGGCAGCCAGGACTTCAATGGCGCCCATTATGGGATGCAGGTGTTGTAGGTGGCAGCTTTAGCTGGTACGCCACAACACCAAGCCCCAGGTGTTTTAAAAATACTTTGGGAGTGGATATTTGCCACTGGGGTTAAACCATCATCGGGATGCCTGCATTCCATATTAGAACCTGAGTTCAAGTCCTGGCTCTGCTTCCAATTCCAGCTTCCTACGAATGTCCAGTCTGGGAGGAAGCAGGGGATGGGTCAGGTACTTGGGTGCCTGTCACTCACATGGGGGTCCTAGATTGAATCCAGGCTCCTGGCTTCAGCCTGGCCCAGCCCCAACTGTTAAGGGTGTTTGGAGAGTGAATCAGCAGGTGGAAGACTTCTCTCTCTGGCTTTCAAATAAAACAAACAAATAAATAAAATACAACAACCTCTAGTTGAATGTGTAAACAGTTAAAGACCACTCAGGAAAAATATCTTCATTCTAATGATCTTAACTAGACATAGAATCCAGCTGGTAGGGAAAAAAAGTCCAAAACCCTAGATGAAATTATTGATAGCTAGCCCTAGGGCAGACACTTAGCTCAGAGGCTGGGATGCCTGTATCCCACATCAGAGTGCATGGGTTCAATTCCCAGCTCTGGCTTTCTTTCTTTTTGATTTTATTTTATTTATTTGAAAGAGTTACAGAGAGAGGTAGAGCCAGAGAGAGAAATAGAGAGAGAGAGAGATCTTCTATCACTGGTTCACTCCCCAAATGACTGCAGCTGATCCAAAGCCAGGAGCTTCCTCTGGGTCTCCCACACAGATGAAGGGGCCCAAGATCTTGGGCCATCTTCTACTGCTTTCCCAGGCCACAGCAGAGAGCTGGGTTGGAATTGGAGCAGCCGGGACTTGAACCGGCACCCATATGGGATGCCGGCACTGCAAGCTGGGGCTTTAACCCACTGCACCATAGCCCCTGGCTTTCGACTCCAGCTAGCTCCCAGGTGGGAATCCTGTATTGAGTTCCTGGCTCTGGGCTTCCAATCAACCCAGGGCCATCTTGCGCATTCTGGGAGTGAACCAATGGTTAGGTGTTCTTTCTCTTAAAAAAGAGCAAAGTAAGCCCTTAGATAGTGCTTCCTTTGCGGCAGGCAATGCTCTATGCATCTGACAGATAATATTCATAATTCACATTACCCTCACTAGAAACCGCTGAGGTCACAGGCACACACACGCACATTAGCAAGCTTCCAGATGTATCATCTGCCCCCAGACTTTATCAGCTCTCCAAAAGCTCTTGGTTTCCATCTGTGATGTGTCCCTCCCACCTGAACAACTGTGTTTAGGAGCAAAGTAAACAAGTGTGTCCAAGTCGGTCCAAGTCCAGACTCGCCATCTGCAACAATCAATTTCTGGGTTTGTGCGGTGAAAAGCAGTTCTCTAGGAAAGGCGACATTTCCATGAGGGCAGACTGTCCACCGCAGTGTGCCGAGATGCGGGCCTACCACTAATGCACGTGCTGAGACTTACACGGACGGGGTGGGGGCGGCGCTTCCCAGCTCACCCAGAACCCGTCTCTCTGCCCCCTGAAGGGAAGTTCAGGCCCGTTTTTGCCTCCAGGTCCCAGCTCGGGGTTTAGAGCGGTCAGGAGGCTGCCCCCGGCCCTCCGACCAGGAACCTTCACCCGCAGGGACTCCCTGTGGAGACGACTGCACAGCCCCTAACCCCCCACCCTTCTGCCCGGCGCTCCATGGCAGCTAGAATCCGAGCAGTGGCATCTGCGAGCAGCTCTAGGCCACTCCTTGAACCACGTGGCTTCTGCAGGTAGAAGTCTAGCCCCCACCCCAGCCCAGCGCAGGCGGAGTCAGGACAGAACTCCCAGCCCTCCCGGGATGTGGCGACTGCAAACCGCTGGGCAGCCTCCGCTCAAGACCCCTTACCTGGCCGCAAGAGGGATGCCTGCCACAGCCGCCGCCAGATGTAGCCAGCCGCTGCAAGCCCGGCCGGGGTGCTCCGCCTGCCAGGGCCAAGGGACCGCCTTCTCGCCCGCCCACGCCCCTCCTCCTGGCCAATCAGGCACCGGGAGGCTCCCGCCAGCCACGTGGGCGAGTTTTCGCCGTTCCCTGGGTCTCCAGCCCCCTCTGCAGCGACCCCGCCCGCGCAGGGGCGGGCACCTCGGCGCGCTTGCGCACTTTGGAGAAAGCGAAGCCGGACCCCGCCCAATACGGCGGCTTTGCTCCTCCGCTGTGCGTGCGAGGGACGTCGGGGGCGGCGCCGCGGCAGTTGCCCCTGGTAACGGGGGAGGCTGCAGGAGGAGGTGGAGGAGGAGGAGGAGGAGGAGGAGGGATTCGGCGGGAGGATGGTGAGTGTGGGGACCCGGGCCCCTCTGCACCCGGCCGATCACCCCCCTCCCCGCTCCAGGCCCAGGGCGGAGCCCCGCGCTTAAAGCCGAGGAGGAGATGGGAAGGCGCTCAGCCTGCAGTGTGGGTTCTGGATTCGCTTTGAGGGGCGGCGGGAAGCCCCGAGGGTGGGCCCAGAAGGGAGGCCTGGGCTTAGGGAGGAAGGCGGGGCTTGCGACGGGTCCGAGGCTTGGGGAAGGGGCTGGCAGAGTTGGTGGCTGGCCGGGTACCGAGCCCAGGCTCCATCAGTGCCCTGGTGGCAGGGATGAGGGCAGATCCGGGGAGCTGCGGAGCAGCCGCCTCCGCACGCAGGCTTGGATCACCCTGGGACTCGGCCTCCTCGCGCTGCAGGACGGGGTCCGGGCCCGCAGCGGGGAGAAGGTGGGCCCGCGGCGCCGGGGGACGGTAGCCGGGCTTGGGCCCCCGGGGTCCGATTCCCAGGACAAAACGAGGTGCAGTTGGAAGGGATGCCTGGTGGGTTCCACGCAGTGTCGGCGGCTGCGTGGCGGGGGCGCTTCTGCAAACCCGAGCTATTTATTCATTTGCTCAGAGTTCCACAAGATCCGGTTGCTGATGACCGACGATTCGTTCAGTCCTTAATCTGTGTGGATGGAAACAAATTGGCTTCCCGGCCCCTACCATCTCCTTGGAAACCTGTTGCAACCCCGTTTTGCATGTGGCCACACCGGGCCCCAAGGTCTTGATCCCCACGTGGGGTCTCCAACCCCACCTCTGGCAATGAGGGAGGGAAGCTAGAACTGGAGAATAGGCGTGAGTGGGGCGAGCGTTTCCTCTGTCAACCCTAATTAAGGCTGTGACAAATCGCACTTTTTGTGTGATGGATTTGACAGTTCCTTGTTGATTTCTGTGCGGTGGCATTGAGTGACTTTTGAGCTAGTCGTAGAAAAATCGATTTGTTAAAGATTTCGGAGCAGCTTGGTTGGTTTACCAAGTGCAAAAAATCCAGTAAAGGAAACTTGCAGTAACTTTCCACCCTGCCCCCTTGTTCCTTTCTGACCTTTCGAATGTTGAACCATTACTATTAATTTAAGAAGTAAGAAAAATCCAGATGACCGGGAGGAGAGAGTACATGTTTCCCTTTGGTCGATTATCCATTGAGTAAATTTTGATAGGAAGAAAGAGCCTCAGTTGATTTAACATTGTCATATCGCTCCCAAAGCAGAGCTACTTGATCTGACCTTGCCATCACACTTCGCACTTGCTACATTTGTAGCTTTTGAAACCTCAGGCTAAACAGATTTTTGCAAGTGTTTTCTTTTTAGTAATCATTTATACATGAGCAATCCACTTGAAGGCTAGGTTTTTCTCAACCTATGAGTGCAAACATAAATATTTACACAGAAAATTCCTAAAATTGAAACAAAAAAAGGCATGTCAAACCACCAGAGAGTGAGATTTGTCATTATCGAGGACCGCACCAGGTGCACATTGGCTCTGTATACAGATTGACAGTGTGTACACAACACTGTTGTATACCACTGTTGTCAATAATCAAAACAGATTGGGGGTTTGTCTCTTCCTTTTTTCTTAAAATGAACAATAAGAAAGTAGAACAAATTATTCTGGATTCTTTATCTGGTTACCAAATACACTTCATTTGTTTATGCTGTCGTGGTCTATTTCTTAAAGAGTGAGCTATTCTTAGGATTGGAAGTAGAACACTGAATTTAAATGGTCAGTGATGTAATTAAATATGTCACATCTGGTATCCCCAGGAGCCCCATGCTTCACTGTACAACTGAAAAGTGAATTCCAGGTTTGGAGCTTTTTTGTTTTGTTTTTGACAGGCAGATCTTAGACAGTGAGAGAGAGAGACAGAGAAAGGTCTTCCTTCCGTTGGTTCACCCCTAAATGGCGCACTGTGCCAATCCGAAGCCAGGAGCCAGGTGCTTCTCCTGGTCTCCCATGGGGTGCAGGGCCCAAGCACTTGGGCCATCCTCCACTGCCTTCCCGGGCCACAGCAGAGAGCTGGACTGGAAGAGGAGCAACCAGGACAGAATCCGGTGCCCCAACCAGGACTAGAACCCGGGGTTCAGGTGCTGCAGGTGGAGGATTAGCCAAGTGAGCCGTAGTATCAACTGATATATTTTAAAAAATTCAGGTTACTGCAACCATTATTGGTTTCTGTGAACATTTAGAGTCAGCTGCATTACTCTTGCCTTATGATACCAAGTTCTTGAAGAAGTACCAAGATGACAGTAATCTTAGCACATAACTAATCACTGTTATTTACTGTGTGACTCCATGCAGTAGCTATTTGGGGATTGCTTTCCACCCCTGTGGAGCTTGGGGCAGTTGTCAAGCTTATTCAACACTGAAAGCTTATTCCCAGCAGTGTTTAAGTTTTCTGGTCTGAAAATGGTCAGTTAAGGAACAAAAAGCCCGCAACTACTGTTGGGAGTGCCTACCATGTGGCATGCTTTCTATCTGTTACTTCATTTAATGCTCTTGGCATTTTTTTGGGGGGTGTGTCTATTGCTGTTCCCATTTCCTAGATGAAAAGATGCCCCAGGTTGTGTGTGCTTGGAGAGGGAAGTTGAATGAAGACAAATCTGAAATCTTGAACCTCCTAGTGAGGCCCACCCTGGCTGAGGAGATGCCTGGGAAACCTTGTGTTGTTATTTAGTAGAGTGGTGATGAGAAAGATGACAAAATGTCAGTGAGATTTTCCCTTTCAAAGCTGTAGAAGTTGAAAGAAGTAAGAATAAGTAAGTAAAAATGGTCAGTTCCACTTAAGTTAGTCATTGCGAGGGGCCGTCTTTGAAAGTTGGCTTTGTAATTTCAATATGTAAAATGTTAGCTCATTTTCCATACTCCAACACATCCCTGTCCCCCTCCACCACTCCATTCTCTTTGAGTGACCTAGTTTGTAGCATCATTTTAGGTCAGCGTGCCATGCCTCTGCCAGTAGCTGAGTTTAAGCTGATTTTAAGGCAGATAAAATGTCTGGAGGCATGATTTGCTTGTAGAAAAGTTAGTTTAAATGCTTGTGGCTGAGTCAGACCACTTCCGTCCACCAGGGTGCAGATAACTTGTAAACACCCATGCTAGTGACACACAACGTACAATTAACTGAAATTCTTGTTTTCTTACTGCCTTTGTTTAATGTCGGAGGAATGTGGATCCTGCATAGAGGTCCTGTCCATTTTGCTCACTGTTGTACTTGGGGTACATTATGGCTGTCTAATAGGATGACCCATAATGAATGGATATTTTGACCAAGAATAAAACTTGTAAAGTTAATTTATACTGCAAAGCTCAGGCAAATGATAAATTTAACTTCTAACGGCTGTCTCCCTTGGTTGGACATTTAAGATAGAGCATGGGTGTATACGGATGGAAGGGCAGAATGCTCCTAGACTTACTCTGCTCCCTTCCATTCAGCCTCTCTTGAATCAGCTTACTCTGTACCTTTCAGACAGAACCCTGGCATCTATAAATGTCCTCAGCCCTATTTAGCACACCTGGTAATCCTGTGTGCCCCTGTCCTCCGTAGGTGGATTAGTAGCCTGCTGCATTGCATTTGTATCCCTAGGCCATGCTTGACATGACACTTAGCATTTTGCTGCAAGAAAATATTAGCAGAACTTTACATTTCTCCGTAATTTCACCTATAGGTGAAGCACGTAAACTTTCTGTTTCCCAATTAGAAGTGAAGACGTATAGTATTCTGGGCCATTAGGTTAGTAAAATTTCTCTGCAGTCAGGATGATTGCTTTAACCTCTGGGCTGTGTTCTCTCCCTTTCTTTTAAGATGAATATAAATGATACTTTTAATTATGCAGTTTCAAATACAATGAGTTGTGTTGAAAATCCTAGCCTGCAGAAAAGAGTATTTTATTTGATGTTTTTTTAAAAAGAGAAGTTACATGAGAGAGAACCCAAAACATCAAGCTTAGAAAGCAGATCTAGGTGGGCGCCGCGGCTCACTTGGCTAATCCTCCACCTGCGGCACCAGCACCCCGGGTTCTAGTCCCAGTTGGGGCGCCAGATTCTGTCCCGGTTGCCCCTCTTCCAGGTTGGCCTCTTCCAGGCCAGCTCTCTGCTATGGCCCGGGAGGGCAGTGGAGGATGGCCCAAGTGCTTGGGCCCTTCACCCACACGGGAGACCAGAAGCACCTGGCTCCTGCCTTCAGATGGGTGCAGGCGCGCCAGCAGTGGCAGCCATTTGGGGGGTGAACCAATGGAAAGAAGACCTTTCTCTGTCTCTTTCTCTCTCTCATTGTCTAACTCTGCCTGTCAAAAAAAGAAAGAAAGCAGATCTTCATCACAGTTTCTTCACTTGTGGGTGACTCAGAAGATTTTACCTGTATGTCATTTAATGTATTAATACGTTCCAGTTTTTTGGGATTTACTCTAAGAGATAATGGGACCCTTTTTTTTTTTTTCACATCCAATCAGGCACTCGGGATGAGTAGTGCATTGTGTTTTCCCTGTTCTTTGTATCATTCTGAAGATCTCAGAATTGTAACTATTCTGAAAGGTGGTATTATAAATGAGTGATTGCAAATGGAAGCCCAGGAGACTTCTTACAAATACAGGGTTTTTTTGTTGTTGTTGTTTGTTTGTTTTTGACAGAGCTTAGACAGTGAGAGAGAGAGAGAGAGAGAGAAAGGTCTTCCTTTCTGTTGGTTCACCCCCCAAATGGCCGCTATGGCCGGCGTGCTGCGGTCGGCGCA